ACACACACACACACACACACACCACAAAAAAAGAAAAAGAAAAAAGAAAAAAGAACCACATATTTTACACTTCAGACTTTATGTAGTAAAAGTACCATGACAACAGTGGATGGTTCATACATCATCGTGTTTTCAGGAACATTTCCATTGCATTGAAGTGAAATTCACTGCTGGTTAATGAGGTTGCTCTCCATGTCTGAGCTGCTGGGTCACCCTGCTCCCGACCGGAGTCAGTGTCATATCGATCAGAAACACTCTGTCGTGATTCATGTTGAGCATGACACGACAAACCAGTCACGTGCGGTTATTTTAAGAAAACCACACAAGTTATTAATCTGCAGGATTTAAAAAGTCACCTTTCTACATTAACATAGATGAATGTGCCCAAAATAACAGACTCTAATATTTACAGGATACACAAGTGTGAGAAATGACTCATTTAGTCCACATTAATGATTCTTTTCTTTTAAACTGAAATCAAGAGTTAAGAGCTTGTGATAACTTTATTTTAATTTTAACTTATATTTAACAGTGTCTAAAAAGGCATGGGTTCAGATCGAATTAACAGTGTAGGACTCAAATAATTCCATCACTTTATTTTATTGTATTAAGCAGAAGAGGACATGTGTGAATATGTTGGCCACAGTCATTTCTGTGTGTTTGGTCATTGCCCCTCGGTAGAGGGAGGGACCCTACAGCAGACACTCTCATACAAAGAGAGGTGTGTTGTATCCAGGCCAGAGATTTCACCCCCTACACTGACAATAGGCTCCACAGAGCAGAATGCAGGGAGAAGCTGCTCTATGAACAAGAGGCTCAAAGCTCTGCTTTCTTCAACAGGAAGAACTCGCTTTCTTGTTTCATTTGAAGCCACGGTGTCGCTGCAGCAGTGCAGATGTGTTCTGTATGTGTTACTCACAGCATCAAACATGTGCCACAATGTGTCATCAGGGGGTAGGTGTGAAATGAATGCAGAGGTAGAAGAACAAACACGTGAAGATAAATCACAACCCAGCATCACATGGATTTTTCCTTTAAAGGTTCAGTGTGTAGAAATCAGTGACATCTAGTGGTGAAGTTGCATGTTGCAGCTGAATACCCCTCCCCTCACCCTCCCCTAAACACGAAAGAGAACTTGTGGCCTTCAACTTAAAAGATGTTTAGTTTGTCCAGTCTGGACTACTGTTAAAAACATGCAGCCTCCGTAGAGAGGACCCGCTCCTGATGTAAATATAAAGTATTTCAATATAAAGGCTCATTCCAGGGTAAAGAAAACAACAATTTGTACAATTTAGATGAAAAACACTAGTGAAACATCACTAGGATTATTTTATATTTAATTTCTGCCAATACATCCCTTTCACCTAAATCTTTTATATTTTGATTTTCCCTGACGTCACTCCATTGAAGATGTCCAGCGTTAGTGGGATGTAACTCCTCTCTTTCTCATCCAGGAAGTAGAGAGGGTCGGTTATTAGATTTAGGTCAAAGCCTTCCTCCACCAGCTTCACCTTCAAGTGCTTGAACGTGCCTGTTACCTCGATGGAACTCTGCAACAATCAAAATGATTAAATGACATGAATGATCATAAATAAATCATGCTCTCAACACCAGAGAAATATTCCATCCGTCCATTATCTATACCACTTATGAGCTGACACTGGGTGAGAGGTGGGGTACATTCTGGATTTGTAAACATTTCGAAAGAAAAGGAAAATGCACCTGAATCCTGATAAACCGGGGTCGTGCGTAGGCTGGCAGGAAGTTTTCAACGTGTTTAAAAACATCTGCAGAGTCAAACTTCTGTCCGTCTCTTAAAGTGACAGCAGCCATCCCAGCCCTCCCCTCCTGACCTGTAAAAACACATTAAATCAAGATTCACAAGAAATCAGTTTACTGATGTGAAGCAGTAATGATTCAACGTACACAATGATACATGGTACATGCAGTAACATAGTGGTACTCAGCGCCTTGTACTTGTTGTTATCACTGCTCTTAAAGGGGCAGTCCACCAATCTCACACATAAACATCAGAAGTAGAAATAGCCTGTGATAAAAGTTGTGTAATGTGTTGTCAAGCTGTGGAGGAGAACATCTCCTTAAGTCAAACCCAGGGTGTGAGTGGGCTTGTAACGGAACAGGAGGGTTGTATAAAACACAAATTGTATTATGGGAAATGTAGGATCCAGTGTTTTGGGCCTTGACTCATACTGGGGACTAAAATAAATGCTTTAAACAAACTAGACTTCAACTGAGGGTCTTCTGAACATCAACACACAGAGTCGGGGGGAAATGTCACTTTTTGTAAAGAAAGATGAGAAATGAAAATAATTCCGATAACAGGGATCACAGTGTGAGTGTGGGAGCTCACACTCCTCGCTGCACTGATTTGAGCAAACAAAGTGACAGTAGTTTTGTAAAGAACAAGGTGCTGTGGCACTTTCTGCCAAAAACAACGATGGATTTATGTAGCCCCCCCCCCCAGTCCCTTTTGCTTCTATTGTTCTGTTATTTAAAGTTCACTCTGATCCAAGTCATGAGTTGCAACATGTTGCAATCTGTCTGTGTTTTGAACTTTGCGCTGCCAGTGTCTTCTCTGCCATTTCTGGTTCTGATTTTTTACTTCACATCAACTGCAGCCAATCCCCGGAGTGGGATCGTCTGTTAGCACATCACTGTGGGACTGGGAGAACTGGAAACCCAGGATGAACTTGTTCCTCTTTCTCAGTCTGGTGTAAGAGTCTAAAAACCAGTGATGCGCTCGGTCGGCACATAAAACTGCTTTTACTGGTCAAAGTTTACGACCGGATCATTGACTTCAACACACTGACAGAGTGTAAACACAGCTTCACCTGAGGCAAGGTCCACTGTGAGTTTATAACACGAGCTGTGACCTTTCACTTAAAAACAACGTGTCTGGTCTGTGACATTCACGCAGAACAAAACCAACACATGAAGCTCATGTTTAACTCGATCTGTATTCACAACAATGTAGTGATTTATGTTGACTGATCACACATCTGACACAGAATACATACATGTGATGTGCTCATTAGGTTGGTCGTAGAAAAACTACATTTCCTTTCACTGTGAAGTGAGAAGATACTTGTTGGTGTTCCCTGTTCATTTCAGTTATAAGTCAATTATTCAACATTAAGAAGTGACTCAACATCATGGTGAATTATTAACACGTGTTCAGTTGGGGTTTGTGTAGTTGCAAAGTGCCCAAGATTCACAATAGATGGCTTGAAATATT